TTGTTAATTTTGAGTTAATTTTAGCGCAAGGCCAACTTTAAAAAATGCATAAGATGTCCGTAACTTTATGGTCAAAACTAATCAGACTGTCCGTAACTTTATTTTCGAATGTGGGTAACTTTTGTTTTCAAAATTGTAAGATTGATAATTTCAACAATTAAAGGACAATAAACACTATCAAATTCCGTATTTATTACCTAGTTTTATACTATTACGATATGCGTCAAAATAACCAAGAGAAAAGAGAACATAGCTGTAAAAAATCAGACCCGAGTTTTACGGATTTACCGTTGTTTTTTTCAATTTATTCCCGATTTTCGGATAATATGTTGATAGATTAATCCAGTAAACCTGGTTAGCAGCATCCAAAGTATACTTTGCAGAGTGTTTACATAAAACAAGATCTGATGGTACGGCGAAATTTATCTTACATTCTTCTGGCTTTATAGATTGTTCACTGTTGAGTCCTTGGCCCTTTAGCCGCGGGCAAAATTGATACCTTTTCCTTTAAATAATTTCCGAATTGTTAGCCAAAAAAGTATGGTCTCCACTATACCTAGTGTTATGAAAAAAAATGCCAACACCTTTAAGTAAATGGAAAGCTATATTGTTGAACAGGTGTCCGTTTATAACAGCAATTAAGGTAGATTTAAAATCTTCTAAACGTTTCATTGACCTCAGGGATTCAATAACACTTGGTATCAAAGCGTAAATATCTTTTTCAGGGGTCTGGACAGCTCCGTCTATGTATTTCCGCTCAGGACTGACATCTGAACTTGTTCTCTTAAAGGTGATTTTCGTATGTTCACTTTTAATGTATGGTTTAAAGCCTTGACACAATCTTATCAAGAAAAAGTTTTCATATTTAATCAAATGGTCTTTTGAAAAATCTCATTACAAATTTATTTGCTGTTACTCGTTTAATGCCTTTTTCTGTAACGAAAAAGGAAAGTATGCTAGATACACTTACTGGAAATGTGAAGATATGATTGAAGCTTTAAATTTTCTCCTGGACAACATATATGTACTTTTCGGCGATAAAGTGTATCGACAAGTAGTAGGCATTCCTATGGGCACTAACTGCGCCCCTTTAATAGCAGATCTATTTCTGTATTGCTATGAATCTCAGTTTATGACCAAACTCAGTAAGACATTGTTACATTTGGTTGATACATTCAACAATACCTTCCGTTATCTAAATGATATATTTTCGTTAAATAATCCAGAGTTCTCTAAATATACTACCGAAATTTACCCAAAAGAACTTACTTTAACTAAATTTAACATAAACAGCAGTAGTTGTCCTTTTCTAGATTTAGACATTTCTATCTCTAAAGGAAAACTCCATACTAAAATTTACGACAAAAGAGACGACTTTTCATTCCCTATTGTTAATTTTCCTTTTTTAGACGGCGATGTTCCTTTGGCTCCATCATACGGTGTTTATATATCCCAACTCGTTCGTTGTGCCCGTGTGTGTAGTGATGCCATAGATTTTAACGAACGTAATCAATGCATCACTGGTAAATTATTAAGTCAGGGATTTCGTTACCATAAATTACGTAAAACTTTTACTAAATTCTTTCATAGATACAAAGATTTGATTAGTAAATTTGGCTGTACCTGTAGAAAACTGATTAAAAATGGTATTTCACATCCTAAATTTTACGGTAATATTGTACTTAAAGCGCGGAAATCACTATGTGCTCCGTGTAAACTCATCGAACCTTTAAACAAACTTATTAGTAAAGGTTTTCTTACCAATGTTGTAATTAGATCTTTGAATATAGTTTACATTGGCACTAATATCGATTTTGTCATCAGCAAATTAAAACATAACTAAATTTGTGTTCTTTTCAAACGGGATGTATAAAGACACACCCACGTTCATTTTGATCTATAAAGAGGTTAACTCCTAACTAGCCTACTGCCTGTCGATACATTTATTTTTGGCATTGCACAAGTCCTGTCTTCTTTGACTGTCCATGACGTTAAAATACTAAATCCCTGGGATGTGTTTTAGTTGATTTTGGTCTCTGATGCATGATTTTTTATTATTAATTGTTTTTGGCTTTTAACTAGCTGCCAGTAACTGCGAGTACTCTCAAATCGTACTTTCTTGTTTATGACCTGTTGATACTAATTGTAATGCTTTTTTGTAATTTAATGTTATTCAGGGTTTTTCTGTTTTATATACCAGCTTTGATAAGTGTTTGGTATTACTATAAATTTTCACTTCTTCGTACTATGAATATCAAAATTATTTATTTTGTAAAAATATTTCATTTCTCTATCTGAACTGTACAAGTATACCTAACAACAAAATTATTTTTCTTTATCTGTGTTTAAAGTATAATTGCAAATGGCTGATATTTTTGTTCAAGTATATTGTTTTTCTTAAATTGTTAAACATTTCACAGCGGTATAACATGTTACTTTAATTATTCTTCCCTTAGTTTATTTATTTTGTATTTGCATTGTATCATAAATCAAATTTATTTGTTCAGTGTATGTTCACCGGTGTTAATATGTCTTTTGATTGAGTTAAGTCATTTCAATTGATATTTTATAGTGTGTTTTTCTATGTTGTGATGTTACACTATTGTTTCGGATAAGGGTGAAGGTTTGGTACCATTAAAACGTTTAAACCCGCTGCAATTGTTTGCACCTGTCCTAAGTCAGGAATCTGATGTTCAGTAGTTGTCGTTTGTTGATGTGGTTCATAAGTGTTTCTCGTTTTTTATATAGATTAGACCGTTGGTTTTCCCGTTTGAATGGTTTTACACTAGTAATTTTTGGGACCCTTTATAGCTTGCTGTTCGGTGTGAGCCAAGGCTCCGTGTTGAAGACCGTACTTTGACCTATAATGGTTTACTTTTATAAATTTTGACTTGGATGGAGGGTTGTCACATTGGCACTTATTCCACATCTTCTTATATCTATTGAGTAATTTGATCAGAAATTTGTGATATCTGCAGTGGGAAGTGGTGGGATTTATAAGCTGCATGTCCTGATTTTTCGTCCAAAACTAGTTTCCTTATGCTAAATTTTGAAGTTCCATTGTGTTGGCTGATTGAGTGATAAACATGGTATCTATGTCACTAGATAAACTAACACATGTAATTTAAAAAAAAATCGAGTTTATTAGCTGGGTACAATACCAGAAATCATGGTATTCACAAAAGAATTATATCATACTAGAAATCTTCTTTATTTCTGATTATATATTCGATGTAATTTCTATAATATGTTTAATTATTACATCCATGCAAGAATATCGATTCTTTGAAAGTTACAGCTGGGACTATTATACTATAATATATTATGTCCCAGGCTAAGGACATCATGTTAAAGTTACGGACATCCCGTTAAAGTTACGGACATCCCTATTGGTATAATGAAAAAGTTACGGACAAGTTGTTTTCAAGTTACGGACATCCTAAGTGTTTTCGAAAATCGTAATGTGATCGTTTATTTTGCAGTATTTAATCATCTTTTATGTGTAGGTGTTTCCCTAAAAGATTGATACAACTTTTTAATTACTGAACATTTGTGTTGTTTTCATTGTATTGTTATTATATAGGAGAGAAGTTTCTTACCGAAGCCAGGCGGCTCCATCTTGGGCTGTGGGTAACTTAAGTTACCTACAGCCGTTTAAGCACAGTGCTATTACACGTAAATTGTATATGTGTGTAATTGAATTGGACTGGCGCATGAATATATTTTTTGGTTAACGCAAAAACATTTACTTAATTAAATTTGCTTTCTGATAAAAAAAAAAAATAAACTACAGAAATATCTTATTATCATTCAAACGAATGTTTTGTGTTTATTACTTAATTTAACGAACGCGAAGTGAAAACAAATATTTATAACGACGAACTGGTTTGTGTTATCATCGCCGCTATCTTGTTTACATTTGTAACAAAAATTAGTTCCGTCAACGTCGTCTATCAAAAAATGAATAACTTCAAGACCCACTACCAGAAATCCTCTCGACCAATCATATAAACGTATTCCCTTATATGCAAATCATATAAGAATTATATATATATATATATATAAACAACATGACCAAATGGGTGAAAAGTATATTTTAACAAAACGCATTTGACTAGCAGGTCGAACAACTGATGTTCTTAAACACTGCTGACTGCCATTGGCGATTACCAAATAAACGGATCCGTTTATTTGGTAATCGCCAATAGCAGTCGGTATTTGTTTTGCATGCACACGTATAAAAATTGCGGTTTTTAGCTATCCAACGCAATCTGACATAGGTTTGGACGTTGTTTTCAATTTAGACTTGTATATATATATATATATATATATGTCTGCCTATTATAGTAGTGACAACTGTAAATTATACCTTCTCCATCGGATTTCTTATGATTAAGAAATACATGTTCCAGGCGTTAGAATATGTATAAAGAGCTGCTCTCAATGTATACTATTGTATATATATAAATGTAATGACATCAATGACAGTAGGAACATAGCAAACGATGATGAAAAGAAAGAAATACATTGTCTTTTATTTTAAATTAAATACCCTGTCAAGAGAGAGGTCTTTGAAACTGCCGACAAACGGTATTTCGCTTAAATTTCGAAGTGTAAGTTTTTTTAATCAGCTGTTAAAACAACAATTGGTACTGTATTTACATACACTGTTTACTATAAAAAATTAAAAAAAACCTTTATCCCAGCTGATACATTGTAATTTAAAAATGACCTTGACTGGTTTGTATTATTTGTTCACCACAAATTATTTATTAAAAGTCGTAAATACAGTTAATTCGAATCGAAGATAAGAACCGTATTTTAAAGGGAGAGCAAGTCACCAGAAGTGGTTTTTAAAGGCTGGTACACAAAATGAGTATACACATATTAACCAGCTAGATAACTTCCTGATTAAACATTCCTTTAACAAGTTTTATTAATCTTTAACAAATGAAGTATATCCTCGGATATGTACCGGAGTGGTGTTATCCTTCTATCACATCTCCATAAAATGTATATGATACTTTTGTTGTTGTGTCAATCCTGATTCATCTTAGTACATCACTACTTCCGCCTTCTTATGATTTTAACACAATGTTTAGGTATTGTGTGATAAATCTTATTATTTCTTGCATTATTTCATCCTTACTTTCTGCGATCACAGGACCTGGTGACGGAGTTTGTCCAAAAACTGTGTAAGTAGTTTTATACATATTAAAACATTCAATTTAACTAATTATAAATTAAATATACAACTCCTCACAAATATTATATTTAGACCATACTAACTATTATACGTCTGTATTGCTCAAGGCTTGTAAAGATTAAACCTCACCCTTATAATAAAATATTACATTGTTTTGTACATTTAGATGTCAACAAGTTATACATGTACTTTGTAAATTTAACTTCATGCTCGGAACTGTAAAATATAACTTTATATTCTAATTTTGAGTTCATTATATGACTTAAAAAAGTGCTATAAAAGTGGAATTGAATTTTTCAACAAACCAACAACCAAAATCGTATCATTTACAATGTTGAATACAATATAAATATAAGAAGATCTAGTATGATTGCCAATGAAAACCCTTTCCATCAGATACCAAATGACGTAGAAGGTTAGCAACTATAGGGCACCGTACGGCCTTTAACAATAAACAAAACCCATACCGCATAGCAAGCTGTATAAGGCCCCAATATGACAAATGTAAAACAATTCCAACGAGAAAACTAACGGTCTGATTTCTGTACAAAACAATAAACGAAAAACTAATACGATATTACAGCAACAAACGACAACCACTGAATTACAGGCTCCACCCTGTCTTGGGATAGACACATACAGAATATGGCTGGGTTTAGTATGTTTGAGGGAGCGCCACCCCTCTCCTAAAATGAGACAGTGGTGTAACAGCACAACATGAATATATGTTTTCTTTTAAATTAAATTAAAAGAAAAACTTTAATTAACAAACAATTTCGGAATAGGTACAAATTATTTTGAAGAAGGGAGCTACCATTTGATTTTTATGGGGGCTTGGATGAAAAACTTTGTCCTGCATTTTTTTTAGTTGTAATATCTGTCCTGCCTTTTTATTTTTCACTCTGTACTGTCCTGCCTTTTTTTAATTAGTTCATCCTGACTTTTTTTACATAAATTGTCATCCTGCCTCTTTTTTTTTGCCAAGTTGCTCATCCTGCCTTTTTTTTATTCAAAACTCCTGTCCTGCCTTTTTTTTCAGATTTCATCTCGCTTTAGATTCCATTATTTTTATATATCAAGACTAAATATTGATATAATAAATTAAATATTAAAAATTCACATTTCAAAAACCCAAATATATGGGTCAAGTTAAATACACTTTATAAAGAAATAGAAAAGTATGGCGTTCACTTACACCCTTGTAATTTCTACATAGAACCTTGACGACATACTTTACTTTCAGACCTTTTTGAAATACATAACTTTAAAAAAAAATATCATTTTGTTTGTGTGTGTTTTTTTTCATCTTTAACCTCTGAAAGTTTGGCCTTCCACGAAATATTTCAAAAGAATTGTTTTAGGGGACGACCATTTGATATTCGGGGGGAGAGGGGAGGGGCAGGAGGATTTTGAAAATAAATAACTCAGCCTTGATAATAACAAAAATGAATGGTTTGTTCTGTGGTAGTTTGAAAATAAATAACCTGACTTAAAAATGTATTGACAATAACTTGGCAGGTCTTTTAAGCCATTTTATAAATGCTATTCTCAAGTATGAGTTGGCACCAGATTCTTCCAAAATTCGTCTTTTTCATATTTTTTTCGGGAAAAACTTCCCAAATCTTTTAATAATATAAATATTGTTGTATTTGAAATGTTTGAAAATGGGTTTCATTTCACTTATTTTGAGGTATATTGTCTCGTGAACATTTACCTCACTTTTATTACAGGGCCGTAACTACATTGAGGCAAATGCCTCATGTTGGAAATTTCAAAACAAAAGCTTGTCTTCATTTCAAATTGTTTTCACGGCAAGTGTCTTGCAAGAAACAAGTTCTGTTCACCCTCTGACGTAGCCCCCGTTTTTTGAGATCCATGTTTCTCATTTATTTTTATTTTTCAGTGTTAATTGTCTATAATGTTTGTCGTTTTGTGTTTTATCTGTTTCCGGGTTTGTCTGCCCTTCTTTATGACTATTCTCTTAGTGTTGCATTCTATTTGTAATTTAGTAATTATGTTTTAAACTTGAGTTTTATTATATTTAAGGACCTTTTGTCTATTACAAACTACTTTAAATTGTATCCCAGTTAGTAACTACATCAAGTTGTAATTGAAATGTGCTATAAAAACTGACTTGACATAGTTATATCAATGATAATCAGCCCCCTCTTAACTTAATTTGAAGAAAAAAAACATAATTTGACATGCATAAAAGGTTTTTCTGCAAACTGAAACATTTTTTGCTTTGTCCTACGTATTGATCTTTTGATGTTGGCACTAAAAACTAAAAGTCTTACACTGAATCTATATATTTTGCTTTGAGACCAGAATATTGTCAAAAAATTAAAACAGAACTTGCGTTTCAGATTAAGAAAGGGTCTGGAAAACGCGCATAATGCATGATTTTGCGCCATTTTTTCTATAGCTTCTTGGGGCCTTCAGCGAACCCCAGACTCTTCGCTGATTTTTTTTCTCCTCGCTCCGCTTGGCGAAATGTTTGACAACTTTCAAAAGAGGCTAGTTACAGCCCAGCTTTAATACCTTGTACGTATGCAATATATGCAGTTTGCAATTCAGAAGATTAACTTCCAGAGGATGATGATTAATTCTGATTGACTTAATTGACTATGTTACATGTATTTATTTAAGAATTTAAAAATTGTATGTTTTCAAATATTATAAATATAATTGTGAAAATAGATAATCAATCCCTTGTTTTAATGAAAATGAAAAATCATGCTTCAACAGTGCAGAAAATAAATAATCTGTCCTTTTGGTCCACAAAATTAAATAACCCATCCAAAACAAATCCTCCTGGCCCCCAGAATATCAAATGGTCGTCCCCTATTGTTCCATTTTCATGATTTAAGAAATCAGTTTGTATAATGGGTCGATAATTTTTTGACGAAGTATAATTCTGCTTTAACTACACATATAGCTTTGTAGATGTCTCATCGGCAATCATACCACATCTCCTTATTTTTATAATGGTAGCTAACCGTTGACAATGTCATTTTATACCAACAAATGGCTTTCTCTTTATCTATACGATATCTTTATTAAGAAAATTATTTCCTTTATTTTACACAATTAGAATGGATGAAATCTAGATTTTGATTGGTTCACATGTAGTAGCACTTTCTAGGGCTAATAAAACAATACTTTCTTCTGAGGTGGATTCGTTTTATTTCTTGACAAAATCAGGATAATAACAATAACTAAATAAATACCCTACAAAATAAATACAATAGTAAGATTCTGACCGTTTATCGAATAAATAATCTGGTACATAGGTTTCTATCCATGTAATGTGATAAACAAATGTTTTACTAATAGAAGTAGAAATAAATCTGTTCTGCATGTATTTACAACAATCTGACAATATGCTTATATTGTTGAGCGTATCTGACAAAGTCTAGTCCATATGCACTTAACGACTCATATTATATAAACAAGTCTAATATACGAAAAATGACAAAAGTGGTTAATGCAAACTTTAACATAAGCAAATTAACAAAACTAAAAGCAAAAGCTGCATGCTGTATAAATGCCGTAAGCATAAAATAGCAACAAACAAAAATACGAACATTACAAAAATAACACTTAGCTTACCTCGCATGAGGTGCAAAGGCCTCCTGAATTATCTAATTGGAATTAAATCACATCTTCCCAGGATTACTTAAAAATATACCTGTATAACAAATAAACAAATTGTAATCCATGTTTTACTGTAATAATCCACCTGTTTACGATATGTACTCTTAGTTAAAATAATCGATCAATACCACATAACTTTTATTACGTTTATATCTTTACCTTTAAAAGTATTTAAAGCATTCGTACCGGAACACTCGAATTCTCATACAGTGTGTATTAAATTAATTCTTTACCAAATTAGTTAAAAGTACTTTATTTATGAAAATATGAAAATAACGTCTCTTAAACCATTTAATCAAACAGATAATACTTTACTGTACTTTATCTATTTTATATCATTTTAAAGCATTCATCTCGCATTCAACATTTACGCATCGGTCTTTCATTCTAAACATTCATTCTAGGTAAAATAATAAATATCTGGACTATTAACATATAATTAGTAATAGAGAAAGATAACTGACCTGTATATAGAATATAGAACACTAAGAAAGAATGTTACTCAAACTTAGAATTATATCAGACACAAATGTCTATGTCCACCACTATATCAAAAGTGATAACCAGTATAAAGAACAAAAGAAATATAGCGCCAAAACATAAGACCAATAGAAATAAAGAAAGTGTGCGGTCCAATGAACCATGAAAAGAAAGCCTTTGAAGTAAAATACAGTGAAACCAAAGTTACTCAAACCAGTAGAAAATGTCGTCTGTCAATAAGTCCAACTGTCAAATAAGCAAATAAAATGAACTATGAAAATAAATATACTAATCAATTAATTACAATCTGTAATTAATATACTCATACCTTTAATTAATCAATATAAGTCATATCCTATACAAAATACAACACTATAAACTAAATATAAAAATATACACAATTACTGTAAAACCTATAAAATACAGTCTACCACACACACAAATCCACACGTGAAGACCATAATTCTAGAGTATTAAAACACACACTGATACAAGATACAAATATTAGTGTAATAAGCCTTAACCCTTTCACGCTCAGCCAATTTAGACCTAAACTTGTGGAAAAGACACAATCCAAGTTCAGTTGAATATAGCATTCGCACCAAAACACATACAAAGGCCATTTTTGATTCATATGAAAGATAAATGATTGAATATTTCAGAAAATGTAATTTGAAAAAAATGTGTTTCTTTTAAGCCACGTGGTACCTTTCCAACCGTCACGTGACTTGCTGGAAAAATGTGAAAAAAATACAAAATGCGTCGTGTAGAGACATTTTTTTTTGCGATAATAGAGTATAGTTTTGGTGTTCAAGCAATGACCCAAGTCTGATAGAAACAGAAAAGTTGCCA